ATTGCTCCTGGCCAATCAGTTTCCTGATTGGTTGGGAAGCTGGCCAATCAGGAAGCCAGGCGGCGAGTCATTACCCACCCCCTGGCTTCCTGATCGGCCAGAAAGCCGGCTCCATGCTTCTTAGTCACCTGGTGACGAGGGAGCATAGAGCCAACTTCCTGGCTAATCAGGAAGGTTAAATTGAAACGGAATAGATCCATAGATCCAACAGGCTGGGCATTTCTTGATTGTTTTTAATACATTGTAGGTTGGATGGAACTTAAAATCAAACTGAAAATTGGCTGGAAAAAAAAGGATTGAAAAAAGATTTATCAAACATGATAAAAGTGGAAAGCTAAAGACACCGCAAATGCTTGGCAAACAGAAAATGAAACGCTACCAAATATGTGTGCAAAGTCAATGGTTGTGTATGCGACCGTGTGTAACCAACTTTACCTGTATTTCTTTAAGCAACAAGAAACGCGAGACCTACTGCTTTCATGAAATGTTCTCCAAGAACTAATTTCATTAACTGCACCCATACAAAGTTTTTATGCCTATTGTTCAAACAAGTAAACCCTAAGAAAGGTATTTAAGGTTTATCTAAACCCAAAAATATATTGCGATTTACCAGTCCCTAGATGTGGTGGCTGCATAGGATTTCATTTTTCAGGCTAAGAACATTTCAGCACATACAGAAAATACATGTAGAGAAATAAGCATAGACAGGAAGGGACAGGAAGTGTGCTGTTTGCCGAATTACCAGGTGAAAATAAAGGAACAAAAGCTTAAAAACAAAAGTAAATAAAGACACTTAATCTAACTAATTGTGTAGATAAAAATATGGTTGTATAAATTATTTGCCATGCAGGTTTGATTGCATAAATGATAAATGTGTGTTTGAAAGCAATTTTGTGAGCTGACATTTGCAATTGCATTAAATTGTAAGTAATTTATTTTACTATTTTCTGAAGTTGGCTTGTTTTCTCTTGTCATTTAAAAAAAAACTAAATTGAAAATCAACATGTCCTCTTTAGTGTCATGTTACCCATCACCTAATTTGAATTGTGACCTTTTCAGTTAGTAAGATTCGTAATTCAGGTGCAAACGTCTAATTTGCCTAAAAACAGAGCCAAAAAAGCATGTATGCTTTAGCTGTCCTTTTACAGAAAGGAAATGGCCTCCTTAACTATATATTAATAATAGAATCTTACTGAATTATTATTACCAGCAAAAATGTGCCCGTTCAGAACAGGCAAGTTTGGGGATTTAACGGCCAATCTAAAATGCAAGCTAGTTAAATCTATTTATGTTTGGGGCATCAATAGGAATGGATAGGGCATTATCAGTGTGGCAATGGGCTGAGGGACTATACCCCACAAACACATATATATATATATATACACTGGCCAGATTATTATGACCATATAATTTGGCGCTGAAGTTGCTAGAGGGCCAGACCATTATAAATAGGGAAGCAGGTTGTTTACCATGACAGTAGAAGTGATTTGTTTCTGAAGATACGGGTAAACCACGCGATTTAACAGCCTTTGAACGTGGGATGGTTGTTGGCGCTCAGAGCCATGGAGCGAGTATCAGCAAAACAGCAGAACAACAATGTTCAAGAGCAGCTGTTGTTAAAGTGTTTAAAGACTGGACTGTCAGCCGAAAATCTGGGTCTGAACGTGCGAATTGTGGTTGTCAGCGACTAATCAATGTTAGGGCAGAACGGAGAGTGGCAAGACTGGTACAAGACAACAGAAGGGCAACAGTGCAGTGTCAGATTCCTCGCATCACCTTTAAACATCTCGTGGAGTCACGAGGCGGCACAACAAAGTCATCTCGTGGCCCAAAGAAGTACTGATGGGGTGGTCATAATAATCTGGCCACTCAGTGTGTATATGTATGGGATCTTGTAGCAGGCATGTTGGGGTGATAGGTACTGTGAGGTGATGAGGTTGTGGCAGGTGCTGTGGTGTCAGGTGGGAAAGGGTGACAGGTGCTGTGGGGGTATCAGGGGGTGGACAGTTGTGATAGATGCTGGTGTGAGAGGGTGGGTGCTATAGCCTGCTGTAATCAACTAAGCTTATGCTATATTTTTATTTTTAACATTCGATCTAAATTTTAACCTGAAATTGGGGTAAACTAAAAAAAAAACAGCATTTAACTTCCTACATGTCCCCACACATAATTGTTGCACATGTTTTCTATGACCCTAATATATGATGTGAAAGTGTGGGGAACAGTAGGACATTAGGTAAACCTTTCTTATTTCTAACATATGATGTAAGGATATAAAATAAGGCAGACTTTTCAGGTACCCAGACAAGACATTATTTACAAAAGTATTACGTTTATTAATAAATAAATAAAACATGCTTAAAAATCTTTGTCATTACTTTGCCTTTTTGTCTACTAAAAAGCCTCCAATTTATTTTATTCCATTTGTTATCGACAGAAAACACCTATTAGCTGTCTATGTATACTTAATACTTAATACATATTGCCAGTATAGTATAGTATATAGTATATAGTTATATTATTATATTAGACCACGTTTATTATTATACTCGTGTATTTTGTTATATAGACGGGGAACTGGAGATTATTCCCAACCTGTTTCTTGGATGTAGCTACACTTCTTATATTTCCAATCACTTATATATGCATGGATGTGATACCCATACAGCAAACCATTTTTCGTCTTTATAAATAATCTAACATATGATGTGAACAGTGGCACATGCTTTAAATTGTGGGGAACTGTGTGATATAAGGAAAACATTTCTTACATATTTTCTTTTGGCTGACAGGTTAAAGTATAAATGCATTTTTTTAAATTATTTGAATAGCGTGTTGAGAGGTTAGAACCACTGTCAGGTTTTCATTGTTGTCTGTGTCCCTCTTAGGGATATTCACCCTCTCTATGTGTCCAGATCATCAATGTTACTGGGAATTAGACATGGGTGATTCGTTTCGTTCCGAATCAAAATTCGGACGAATTTTCCGAAATTTGGACACATCCAAATGTGTCCGAATGCGAAGTTCCATTTCCATATTTCAGATCCCGTCAGAATTTCGTTCAAAAAGTAAACTGAATCGGACATGTGACTTTCATGGCCAAGCAGATGTGTTTTTCGGTTTAATGCATCCGAATGGGTCTGAACACGAATTTTCCTTATGGAAACATGGAAGCCATATACAATATATACATATAACACTAACGCTGAGGCTCCTAGATCCGAATGGCATTCGGGAACTGAATTGCATTGCAGAGCTCTCAAATGCAATTCGGGTCTGGGAGCCTCAGCTTTAGTAATACAGTATATGTATGTGGCTCCCAGACCTAATTGGCATTTGAGATCCGAATTGCATTTGGGATCTCCCCAATGCCATTCGTGTCTGGGAGCCATATACATATAGTACTAAAGCTGACCTCACATACCCGAATGGCATTCGGGAGCTCCCGAATGCAATTTGGAAATTCGGATCCCGAATGCCATTCGGGTCTAGGAGCTTCAGCTTTAGTAATAATATCTGTATATGGTTTTCTATGTTCGCAATGAATATTCATAAACTCATCCAAAACTTAACGAAATTCGGATTTCGTCTGAATCAGAAACCCAAACCGAATTGAATTTTGGATCCGAATCTCGAAAAAACAAAATATCCAAAAGAAACGGAACCAAATTTTTCTGCAACTTACATGTCTACTTTGAATGAATGTGAGTGTAAATTCAATTGTTTGAGTTGCCGTCAGAACAGAAATATGGAAAATCTTGCATTGAGGACACATGTTCCTGCTGACACCTTGGAATGGAATTTCCCTCACATTGGAAAGATTTCTGCTTACTTTCTGTTGCATCTATATGACAGGAAGTGAAGGGAAGTCTCCCTAATGAAACACAGATGGCAAAAAAGCTCATCGTGGTTTTACCCGCCCTTACTCAAACTAAAATTTAAAAAAGTTTTACCTTTTTAGATATACTTTAAACATTTATAACCCTCTTGCTGCCCTCTTATAATAGGGCAGCAATATATAATGATATTCATGAATATGTTCTAGACTGAATGATTAGGTCTCATATAATTAGTCATCTAGGTTTGGGACTACAATTCTCTGTTAACCTATTATTCAACTCTTACTGTTTCATAATCTGTTTGCATTATGCCTGACATTAATAGGGTCATTGTTTCATTTTGTATCGTCTGAAGTGTCTAAATGTATTAATGCCTTACATGTGGACTTCTGCAGTGGTTGTTTTGTCATGTAACAAGATCAGAGATGAAGGGATTAAAATCTGTTTCATACAAAAAAAAAAAACCCTTAATTTACAGGGTTGTGCTCTTTCCCCAGTGGTGCTGGATTTGATCTTTTTAACCCCTTAATCTCTTTTTACTATGCTGTTCTTATGACCACAGTATTTTATGGCCAGCGGTTGACATTTTGACAGGGAAGGCCAATCTCTGCCTAAACACTTCTCACTTTTTGACAACTGTGTCCCAATGTCAAGGCTGTGCTGGCAGCTGAAGGAAGCCTGCAGTTGCTTCTAGGGAAGCATTAGAAAATATTGCTGTAAAATTGGGTGATAAGGCATGAGGGGGGTGAAATAACCTTATATTTAGAGTAGGGTTTAGGTCCACTTTAAGGAATTACTTTCTCTAAAACTAAAAGTTATATAATTTCATTATGTGAAGGAGCTGAATTAATAACTGTTACAGTTCCACATGTTAATGTTCACATGTTAACCTCTCCTGCACCAAACTTTTTGAGATGTTTTACATTTATGAAATTATTGCTATAACTGAATTATCTGGGATTAGTGAACAGGAAGTCTGCTTTGCAATAAGGATAAAATGCACTTTTTTATTTTTTTTTATTTTACAAATATTCTAGACCTGAGTCCCTTGCATTCCTTAGGTCTGCAAACATATATATTTCTCCCCATACTGTTTTGTTACAAAGAACCCCTGCAGAGTCTGAGTCATACATTGAACTTTATTCATTTAACTTTTTTTAGGCTATGAAAGTTCTTTCAAAGAAAAGGTTATTGAAGCAATACGGTTTCCCACGTAAGTATTTTAATGGGTTTAAAGGTGCTGTGAAAAGTGATATATTAAAACAGTATAGTTGCAAACTTGGTGGCTGCATGAAGCAAGGCTAAAAAGTTTAACTTCAGCAGTGAACCTCTGTCAAGCCCTGCACTTTGATATTAAAGTAATTTAATAACGGGTTACAGTAAAAATTGCACTCAAAGGCAGAATGTGTACTGGGTCACACAGGTGTCAAGTGTCTGGCAATAATTCTCTGTAGAAGGAAATATTCACTATATTGTGCTAGCCATAAATACTTAGAGAAATCAGTCGCCGTCCCTTTCCATGCTAAACATCATGAACATGTATGAAATTCAAACAGTGTACAGCTACCTTTAGTTATTTTTAACATATCAGTAGGTAAGAGGGTTAACTGCAGGGTGCAATTTGTCATAAAATAATTCAATTACAAAACTAAAATGCAATGGTAGAAGCAGTTTAATAAAGAATATTTTCATTCTATTTGGCAAGACAAATGGCATTGTGACCATTGTCACCAGGACTGACAATGAGGGAACATTCAGAATTGTGACTTGCTACCAGAACAGGAATAGAGAGGAAATGTTCCAATGGGGACATTTGTTCTGTGACAACTTTTTAAGACAGTGTTTTCTTCACCCTGGAAAAAAAAAAGTAAAGGGAAATCTCCACAATGGGACACAGTAAAAAAACAAATGCTAACAGAGGTTTCAACCATTGCCTACTCTACTTAGATATACTTTAACAACTCACTCTGGAATGTCTTATAAATATTAATAGTCAATTCAATTTGTGCATTTAGAAACACACAAATCCCCTTTTTGAAGCAATCTACCGAGTTGGCTAAACTAGGTCCTGTGGAACACTATTTAAAAATTTCACAGCTCTTACTCTAAAGACCCCTTTACAATTATGTCTGTATAAATGACAAGCTTACTGCTCATTTTCAGACAAACAGTTAAATAAAACTCATATGGGAGATGTTTTACATATTGTATATCTGCCTGTAAAGGAAACTTATGACAAATATAATCACATTATTGACATATATGTTCATTATACATGTCTGAGTAGTATTTAATTACTATTTTTCTTGATATAGATGACCTTAACAATATGATTTGCAAATCTTTGTTTAAAAAAAAAAAAAAAAAATGACCCCCCTTTCTCACTACCACTTTATAAGGCTTCAACCACTGTGCGAACTCTAACTCTCACCTTATCTGATCCACCAGTGCCATTTTACTATCAAATCCTTCTCTTGTTTTTCTTCATAAGAAAAAACCTTTACAATGCTATATGAGTGATATTAATACCGCTACAAGAGTTCTATTATTTAAAAATAATGGGGTTTCAAACTATTTTTGTAATCTACATCAGAAGGTTTGGTTTTTTTTTTTAAATAGAACTCACTTATTTACAACGTAACACTGTTTGCATCCTATCCTCTTTATAGTATTAATGTCCCTGCTCCACACTCTCCGCTGTTGCTGGTCCACACTAGCAACTCCAAATGTTGCACTCCCCTCTTCCTGCTTTTGCAGTTCTTATAATGAATGCATTTCTAATAATATATTTGGACCAGGCACACTTTTCTAGTATATGTAAAAATTAGTATATTCATGCTAGTTGTCCTTAACATAATTGCTTATTTACAGTATTTGCCTTGACAAATTCCTGAACTATCTGTACCTCTCCATTATAAATTATAACTGTGCACAAGTTGTACAATGTTTTTGTTGCACATAAAAAGCTATCCTATGACAACCGTGGTTTATAATGTTGAGCAGCCTTAACATTGCCTTCACATTTTGTAACATTGCAGCTTAACAGTGCCTTAACATTTTATTAATGTTTACTACTTCCATTTATGCTGAATATTTTAATGTTCTTGTTTTCTCAGGTCGCCCTCCCCCAAGAGGTTCAAAAACTGCATCTGGTGATCAGGCCAAACTAATGGCTCCATTGGATAGGGTCTACCAAGAAATTGCCATTCTAAAGAAACTGGATCACATTAATATTGTCAGACTGATTGAGGTGGGTTTAAATATACTATCAATGTTATGGCCTTGTCTTTGTCAGATTATTCATGATTCCAGTAGTTTTAAAGTTTTTCTAAAGTTATAAATTAGCACCTTCATCCACACATGGAACTACATGCTCAGTATTTTAGGCCTGTTCAAATATATTTACTAACATCAGGATGTTTGAAAGTCCTAAGATCTTAATAAGCTTACAAATCTTAAAGGTTCTCCAATATATTCTGAATATTCAATGTAACTAAGAGTGTAGCATCTCTAGTATTGACCTGAGGAGGGATACTCTGAAAATTGGGAGCCAGCATACATGTTCCTAAATGTGGAAATATACTTCACTCCCAGGAGGCCTCCATGGCAGCTGGGTATTATTTTAAAATCAAACTGTTGAAAACTAAAAACAAGTTAGGCTTTCAGGTTTGTTCCATGTCTCTTGTGGATTTTTGTATTCTGTCAGGTTCTATGCTGGTTACACAAACATGATAGTATTTGGCCTATGCGGTTTGGACTTATTTGTTTAAGGGGGAACTGAACTCTTGAAGCTGTCCCCCAAAAAAGCAGGCAGAATGAAGGAACTAGTCACCAGTATTGCCTGTGGTCTCCCTGCAGCTGATACGTCCCCATTAATGACTTACCATGCCATGTTTTGCACTGTCTCCGTCTGGAGGCAGCCATTTTGATGGATGCAGGGATTTCTCCTGTCAGAGCCTCCAGTAAGTAGAAAATGAGAAGAACAATAGTGATATCTGTAAAGCTCACTCATTCTTTGTGACTTCTTTGAGATATCTAACAGTTGTCTAATAGTTTCTATTAATATGTGTTACTGAGGCAGCCCTAAATTGCTCATTACATACTCTTTCTGTTTCCCGACAGTTTAATTAAAAACAACTAAAACAGCTCTGTGTGGCTGATCTCTTATCTCTGCATTTGTTAAGGGGAAACCTATAATACTTTTACATTTAGTTTTAATTCAATTTAGTTAGTTTTTGTTAAATTTAGTTTTTTTTTAAATGGAATCAACATTTGGTGTGAGCATATTTTGCCTTAACAACACTAGTACAAATGTGTAGTTTGCTCCAAGCATCCTGGAGACCATACCACAGTTGGGTCTCAGACTTTAGCTGTTTTACTTCTGTTTATGCAAGTAATCCCAGACTGGCTCAATGGTTTTGAGATCTTGGCTCTGTGGGTGCCATGCCATATGTTGCAGGATTCCTTGTTCTCTCTTCCTTGCAGTTTGTTTATTGGCATAAAGCATCATAGAAAACAGCAAGCAGAAGATTTCTATCATCACTACATTTAAAAGCCATGTCACACTAGAAGCTCAGTAACAATGATCTTTAGTGGCTACAAACCTCTCTCATTACTTCTGGTAGTTTGTAGTTGGATACAGAGTTGCTGCTGTAACTGGTTACAATACTGATATATTCCGCTATAATCGCTAATGTGCCAATATCACCAGCAGCTGTGTTGGAAAAGCAGTAAGGAGGCCATCCATTGTGATCAAACAATTCTCCAATTTGGTTTGAAGAAATTCAGCCTCAACCATATAAGGCTCCTTTACTGTACTTCAATGTTGCGATTAAACATTCATCTATGTACTGTTGGCCAAATTACCTTCTAGCAAAAATTTCACATTTTGAGTCATTGGTCCAGAAAACCTGCTGCCATCTTTCTGTACCTTTTTAGTCTTTATGTTATGTGGCGTTATTTTCACAATGAGGGAATGGCTTTTTGGTTGCACATTTTTCATGAAGACCATTTCTGATAGGACTTCTTCAGACTATAGATGGGTGTACCAAAGTTCCGGTGGTTGCTGGCACTGAGCAGATAGCATTGACCTCTTCCAGTGTCGAAGGGAAGCCATTGATATATTTTTCATTTGTTATATTCAGTTTCTGGGGCTGACCATTGTGTTGCTGATCCTAAGCCTTGACTCTTTCTTTGTGCTTCTGCTAATAAAATTGTACAGCACACGTGGAAGAACCTGCCTGCTGCAAAATGTCTGCTACCAAACACATTTCTACAGCCTCACCTTATAATTTGATTGGCCCTTGCCCAGCTTTATTTCTGTTACACAGCTGTTTCTCTTTCAGCTAATCGCTTTGGTTAAACCTAGAGATAATGTCATTCATCATTAGCAATTGTTTGCTTAATTAACCACTGGGCTATATGCCTACAAGGCTCTCACATTTTGTTTTTAACTGGAAAGCGATCATTTATTTTGTTTTTAGGGACATTTAAATATTGCATTGCTTTACTTTTGGCTAAAGCAATGTTTAAAACACTAAAATGCGCTCTTCAATTGAAACCTCAATTCAGAAGGCATAAAACAATCATCTAAGACAAATATTTTGGTTATCTAAAGTATTTAAGACACTTGAACTGTTCTCTCATCTCTCATTGGTTAAGTGTGTGTAAACCCAAATTAACATCAGCCATATAATGTTTCCATGTACTAATATAAAGTCTGCAATGGATGCCCTTTACCCTTCTTCTCAGTCAGAAAGCATACATTACTTAGTGATCCTGCCAGGAGCCTCGGCTGCCTGAATTGTCATGACAAAGAAAACCACAGAGTGCTGCCTGGTTTATCATTGTTGTGCCATCCAGCATGTCCCCCGTACCAGTGTACAGGGTGCCATACTGATTTACAGTCTCCTGCTCCTTGCTGTAGATTGACAGCGACTCCTGTAGAGATTATCGCAGTCAATACAGCAGGGTTCTGCTGACTGGTGCAGTCTCTACCTCCATCGCATAAATCTGGTGTGACGGAAGGAAAAGAAGGGGCATCTAGTGATCATGTGGCTGCCAATAAACAAGTCCAAAAAAGGTATTTAGAGGCCATTTGAATATTTTTTTAATTGATTGTCTAATTATTTTTTTTACAAAATACTGTAATCAGGTAAAAACTCTTGTTCCTTTAATTGCTTGTTTTTTATTGCTTTTTTTAGGTCCTCGATGATCCAGCTGAAGATAATTTATACATGGGTAAGGAATACATTTGTTCGTTGTTATTTTTCATTCGTATGTCTTATCTCAAAGAGCAATTTGAGGCAATAAGTAGAAGCAATCAGTGTGATACTACTGCTATCCAAGTTTGTTCTCTAAAAAAAAACCTCACTCAACTTACCTTAATTACAGACCTATGTAATCCCCTACATCCAGATTTCAGAGTGTGCCTGACAGGCTTGGTGGAAAGGTAGTAGGAATATATTTAATGGAGCTGTTCTGCATAACTTCCTTTCTTTCTGCAATCACATTAAGATTTTTACTTTTTTTTGTTTACATCAGGCTAATGTGGGATAATAAGGACTGTGCTGTGGGTAATCTAGCATCACATGCAGGAGTATTCCAACATCACCAGATTACTGACAAAATGGAGTGGTGGAGCTGGAGCACTATAGAAATGAATAGCGGGATGAAAAACGAAACTACTGAATAGATGTATTCACTCCCCTCCAAACCTTACACTTGCCTTACCCGCTGTGCTGAGTCTTCACTCTATAGCCCACTGGAGCTACATGGATTGTTATCCCCCCCCCCCAACCAACGCCGAAACATCCCAGCCAGACAGTGTGCACTGCAGGGGGTGGGGCATGTGACAAGCACATACTTCTACTCTCCCACCGCCTGGTACTAGGGACGTGGCCGGGAGAGGAGCGGTGAGTCACAGAACCCGCCCCCTTGCTGAGAAGTCCGGGGCCCCAAGACCCTGCATTGCCCTATATTCCCCCGGAGGTGCCCAGGACCAGACCTCACTGGGCCCCCCCCACAGCCTCAGGCCCCGTTGCATCGGCACTGGCATTAGTTCCGCCCCTGATTATATGTCCAAGGGTCATATTCAAGAAGAACCAATCTATCCTATCAATGCATCAGTGAAGAGAATGCACATAAGAAGGTTTTTTTTTGGTTTGCTTAGTGAACTGCATTTAAAACGCTGGCCATGTTGTAATTGCCTGTTGAGGGTGAAACCCATTTGATCCCAATGGATAAGAGAGGTGAGATTTTGGTAGTAAGTTATCAGACAGGATTCTAGTAAACAACTTAAAGTCTACATTTAACAAGGATATTTGTCTATAGGTTGCACATTGTGTTAAATCTTTACACACTTGTGGTGTACCCAGTATGTGGGATCTTAACATATTCAGTGGGAGATTGTGGCCAGACAGAATAGAGTTAAATGCTGAGGTAAATTGGGGGAATAGAATGTGTGAAGGGTTTATAATAGTCACTCAAATAAATGCTTCCACTGTTATTGGATCTTCTAGAAGCTCTGTGTCTTTTAGGGAGATCGCCAGAAGACTAGAATAGGTTAAGTATCCTCTTATCTGAGTCATTTTAGTTTGAAGGGAGGCTGGGTCCCCTGTTGAGGTATGTTATGATAGAATTCTTCGAATCAGAATGCAATGTCAGGTGATTTGTAGACCGTAGAGCTGTCACCCACAACAGTAGAAATGGCATTGCACAATTTCATTTCCCTCAAGAAGCTAGCAAGAAGTTTACTTGGTGTGTTCTCAAACTCATAGAAATGTCTGTGTTACTCATCCAATTGAGTTTTTACTATGTGAAGCATAAGCACAGCAAACCTGTCTCACAACATTTTCAGTTCCACCACATGTATCTGATCGAGTGATTTATTGTGTAGGGACTCCAAGGTTTAAATATGGCTGAGAATCTGCTGGCGTTGTTCCTTGTTTTGGGCAGCACTTTTTGACATGATATCCCTTTCATGGTTCAGTTATTAATTTCCTATAGAATTAACAAGGGAGTGTCTGGGGAGGCATTGTCAGAAAAGGTGTGGAGAGTTCCTGGCCCAATTCTTCCTTGAGAGGCCCTTCCTGTATAGAAGATTTGTTTAGTTTATAGTACCGTGCTTTAGGGACATATTCTTCTAATTGGAGCATGAGGGTGTTTGGGGGTTGATCAAAAATGGTATGTGTATAAATTGTAGCAGAGTTGGCCATCCCTAAAGTAGATTGGGGGGATGAAGAAATAATCCTTGCGCAGATGGGACTGATATACCACTGGGTAGCAGGTGAAATTTTTTTGTGGCTGAGTGATTTCTTCTCCAGACATCTACCAACTTGTCACAACAGAGGACATATTAAGGAAGGAAACAGTCTATGTGTAGTTTCCCTAGAAACATCCAACAAGGGTTTTAAAATCAAGTTCCCTCCTAATACCAAAACAGCCTCTGCAAACTCTTTCAGAGTGTCTAGGGAGGTTCCAAGAAACCAGAGTTGGTCTTGAGTGGGGAGGTATACTTCGCTAATGTTTATTTACCATTATTCCTTCTCCTGTCTGTCCAGCTAAGCGCCTAGTGTATATGTGCCTATAGCATAAAGTGGAGTGGCATAGAGTCTTGAAGAAGGGGGCTTAACCTATGATTTGGGACACAGGCGCACTAGATTCAGAAAATGCCCCTGGCTACTACCTTTCTTTAACGCTTCTGCTGTTGACATGCTACCACTGCCACAAGACAGCAGACAAATTTACAGAAGTAAGTTGGTATTATGTTGGCATTATATAGGCTTATCTTGCATCCAACTAACTATGTTTTAATTAGCTTTTCTTTTTTCTTTTTACAGTGTTTGACCTTCTACGCAAAGGGTAGGTAAGAGATGAAAATTTCCCTCTTGTTCTGAGTTATATTAATACTTGTGTTTGGGCCTGTTACAGATATGGTTGTAGATAGATGTCACCAGCACACCAGAATCCTTTGAAATCCAAAGTGTTCGTTTATTGAAACGTCATGTTACCAGATCAAGCTCTTTTGGGGCCACGCAGGGTACCCTTCATCAGGCCCGCCATTGCTGAGCCTGATCAAGTGGACCCTGCGTAGCCCCGAAAGCGCTTGTTCTGATGACATGCCTTTTCAGTAAAAGAACACTTTGGATTTCAAATGATTCTGGTGTGCTGGAGACATCTATCTACAAACATTGTCTGGCGGCGCCATCCACAGTCACTACGAGCACCCACTCCCCGCGATTGGTAATTTCCAGTAAGGATTGTGACAAGGCAACTATTTACTGTTACCAATATGGTACACCAGCACAGTTACGACAGAGTTTTGTATGCCCTAAGAAAAGAAAAAATCAAAAATGAATTAATACCCCGGACGAACTTTGTTTTCTGAATTTCGTAATGGCAGCTATGCAAACCTCAGTAATTTTATTTTGCTGTGCATCGGTAGGATTTTACAATAACATTTTTTAATATTGTCAGTGGGTGTTATTATTTATCTACATTTTCCAGAAAATAAAGTACCTCTATGGCCATTTTTATTAAACGTATGAGCTGTATTTATTTTAAAAACTTTACGACCGCAGAAAAGAGTTTGCGTCTGTAATTTTGTGCATAATTATAAATGTTCTATTAGAAATACATCTCAAACCAGTGTAAATCCACATTCTTGTGCCATTTTTTAAACAAAAGTAAAAATGTGGTTGAACCAATGTGTGAGCATGACAGTAAAAGTGAATGAAGTGTAGCTTGATTGAGAACAATTTTTGGTAGTACGTTTGTCTGACAAGTGTTAAGATGACAGTGATTACAAATGACTGCATATATAAACGATATCAAATTTTAACACTAAATTACGATGGCATTGAATTTGAATGAGAAGAAGTTTGGGGAGTGAATAGCTGGGGACAGACAGGCAGGAATACCAAGTTTGTCTTACATATTTGGACAACATTTGATACAAATTATAGATGTTTTGATGACAGTAGATACAAATATCAACAATAATAAGTTGCAAAAGAGAAAATCTTGGAACAGCTTATGAATGTACAGATAACATCATGTAACAATGTAGGTTTGATAGCCAGAGTAGTAACAAAATTCTTGTAAAGGGAATGACCCTCCCCCTCCAGGTGTTATCTGGTTGTCACTATAATATAATCCCCCAACTTAGGTAAGTGCAGTGTGCTGAATTATAGATACCCTACCACAGTAAAGTGCAACACAATTCAACACAAATGAGTACCAAATGGTATAAGCCAATAAAGTGCAACATGGAATATAGTAAATTGAATAAAAGCAAACAAAAATGAATAGTGATAGAGAATAAGACGTTGCAATAACACAACTTTTGGATTACCATTAATTTGCATAAAAACATTTGTTGAAAGATCTGTAAAAAATAAGTCAAGGCAACTGGACTTGCTCTATCACTGGTCATCCAACCAGCTTTCTCAATTCAGAATGATTGTGCAAAAAATTATCTGGGAATAAATATGGTGAATGTTGCTCCAATCCACATAATCTGTTAGTCACAACCAGGTGTTGATTTAATTTGCATAATTGGAGCCTAGGAGGTGTTATTAACCTGCCCAGGGAGAGGTGACATCCTATGATGTCAAATCCCTCTTTACCTGCATACCCACCACAAAGGCAATTGGAACAGTGAGAAAACGGTTGCTACTAGACAACACCCTAGGCAGCAGAACAGAACTTAACCCAGATCAAGTGTGTGCCTTATTGGATCTTTGCCTAAGTATCACTTATTTCAAGGACAAGTTCTACAGGCAGAAACATGGCTGTGCCATGGGATCGCCAGTTTCACCTATTGTGGCAAATCTGTGCATGGAGGAAGTAGAAAGCAAGGGCCTGACCAGCTTCAATTGAATTACACCAAGTCATTGGTTCAGATATGTGGATGACACTTGGGATAAGATTCACAAACAAGAGTTACAGGCTTTCACTGACCATATCAACTCAGTGGATCATAACATCAAGTTTACAAGGGAAGTTATGCAAAACAACAAATTGGCTTTTTTGGATTGTTTAGTAACAGTAGAAGAGGGAAGGAGGCTGGAAATAGAGGTCTACCGAAAACCAACACACCCGGCCCAGTCCCTGCTATTTGACTCCCACCACCCTTTAGACCACAAACTGGGAGTCATCAGGACTCTACACCACCGGGTAGAGAAAATTCCCACCAGAACAGAGGCCAAGACAAAAGTATTCAAACTCCTCAGGGGGACCCTTAAAACTTGTGGGTATCCAGACTGGACTTTTGTCAAAACAGAAAAAAGGTGATGAAAGCGTACCAGTGAGGGTGAAAAGCATCTATTGTCCCCCACATACAATGCTGTTTTAACACCTCTCTCTGGAAAGGTTAATAACACCTCCTAGACTCCAATTATGCTAATGAAATCAACACCTGGTTACGACTAACAGATTATGTGGATTGAAACAATGTTCACCATATTTATTCCCAGATTATTTTTTTGTACAAGTTATTCTGAATTGAGAAAGCTGGTCGGATGGCCAGTGAAACGTCTTCAAGAAAAATACAGCAAGTCCAGTTGCCTTGACTTATTTTTTACAGATATACCATGACCTGGATGAATGAGAACCTTCACAGACATTTGTTGAAAGAGTGAGATTTGTTATGTATGAAGCAGAAATGGAGGAATGATTACGAGGAGGGTGCCACAGATATCTAGTAGAACAAGCCCATTCTGGATGAGTGAGATATGAGTTCCTTGATATAGCATTAAAGGCAAGACTGAGACAAATGTCGAAGAGGTGGGACAGACGTTTGTTGGGAGATTTGTTGTGCATTATACAGAGCTGAAGGTGAACAGACACATTTTTAGGAGGTATGTATAATTTTTTTGGGATGGATGTTGTGTGTAAAAGAGTACGGAAAGTAGACAGACACAGATTTTTAGGACGTGAGGCGCAATCCCAAGGCAGTGAAAATACTTTTTAGAGCAAGAGCTGTGATATAGAATTGATGATAGGCAGAAACAAATTGTTAGGACTCTTTCGGGAGCATGAGAAATGTTATGTATGACACAGTGTTGAAGGATACAGGAGTCAGATTTTCAGGACCTGTGAGCTGATTATCAAGGACCTGGATAGACTTTTTAGTGGCAGAGCAAGATAGACTGGGAAGGTAAATAACAAAGAAAATAAGTAAAGCAGGAGTGACCTGTAGAAAAGTAGGGAGAAACCTGTGTAGGAGGGAGATGTGACCTGAGGTTTAAGGTAGTAGGGAGATAAATATTCTAGAGGGAAGAGGTATAAGTGATGTTTGCAGGAGAAATGAGAAAAATCTAGATGTGGAAAGAGGTGTGTCTTAAAATGAACAATGTACCGTATTTTTCCGTGTATAAGACGCTACTTTTTCATTAACATTTTTACCTAAAAATAGAGGGGCGTCTTTTATATACGGGGGCCGAGAGGAGAACCGCGGTTGCGAAACTGCCGAAAGTGCAGATACCACTGCAAACTACCGTAGCCTCACGAGTGAAACTTCGGATTGCAGAGACAAGATAAGTTTTCCTCCAATCATAAATCTTTTGTACCTGACGTCAGCTGTTGCTGGGGAGAGTGGCTCTGTAATCCGCTCTCACGAGCGCAGGCTGACGTCAGGTACAAAAGATTTATGATTGGAGGAAAACTGTTATCCTGTCTCTGTAATCCGATAATAAATCTTTTGTACCTGACGTCAGCCGGCGCTCGGGAGAGCGTGTAGCCAGTGCCCCGAGCTGTAATGTCGGAGCATAACGTGATTGAGGTAAGTGTGATGCATTATACCATTTAAAATATTGATTTAGGAATTTTGGGTAAGAAAAATTGGGGGCGTCTTATACATAGGGGCGTCTTATAGACGGAAAAATACGGTGCATAACATTCTGGTGAGTAGTAGGGTTTGATCTGTTTGAGCTACCTAGTCATTTTATTTTGGAAGTGAATAGTATTTCAGCACTTGTAGCTGCTTATCACTGAAATGCATGCTTATTTTTATAAAATCTTTAGGTTCATTGAACATTGCTTCCCTGATAAATGTTTTATAGCTATATCATTCGTTCTTGACTGCTTTTTCTCTTCAGACCTGTCATGGAAGTACCATCTGATCGTCCCTTTACAGTAGAACAAGCCCGGATTTACTTCAGAGACATTGTGCTTGGTATAGAATACTGTGAGTAATAATGTTTTCAATGATGTGACTGATTTTCTGCACTTTGCTTTTAACACTTTGGCAACAAGGGAAACACTTCTAAAATGCTTGGTAATTATTTATCATTTACGGTTTCCTTTTTAAAAACTGTATTTGTTACTTTAGTGAAAAAGAAAATCTATATTTTTTTCAGAATAGATTTTGCTTGATAAATACGTGGAAATCTGTTCATAGAAACAAAAAATTCTAAAGGTGATTTTAATGCAAAATTCTACTATTTTAGTCTGTTCCTGTGATGTCAAATGAGTGCCCATACCAGTGTTTTGTTGCTGTGGTTTCTGGGTTACAAATGGACTTCTATTTGCTGACCATAAAGTTCAATGTTTTCTGGTAATAATTTAAAGATAGCTTTATAGATATTTTTGGTAGGGCTGCGGAAATTAACGATTCATTTCTTGATTAATCGTTAATATTTTTGATCGATTAAAATTCTTATGATCAAAAATGAAAACTCACCTCTCCGCCGGCTTCCGGGTCTTACGGGAGTCCCGTCGGAGATCTGGTGACGTCACGGACATCGACGTCACCGGACTCCTCCCCCCTTCACCAAGTGGCTCCATCGGCTAATCCAGCACGTTATTCTTCTGAGTTGCCCCACTCAAGCGGCGGCCATATTGAGTGGTCGCACGTGAGATTAATAACGTGCTGGATTAATGTGATCCTAGTTCATTTTATTACTTCATTGCTGTGCTGTATGTGTATAGACCAATGTAGTTGGATCTGTATGTGCGTTATAATTAATCGAAATGAATCGATTAAAAAACATTTTGATTAATCGAACACGAAAATTGTAATCAGTAACAGCCCTAATTTTTGGTCATGATGCTAAGTACCAGTAGCGTAGCTTTGTTTTAAAAGAAAAAGGCTGGTGGGGAGAACTGGTAATTACTCTGGCTTCGGACTTTTGCAGTACATCACCGTGCATACATTAATGTACGGTAAAGCAGCCCATCCATTTTGAAAGAGCTGCCAACATTCAACAACACAGGTTTCACGGTATTTTTTTCAACACGGAGCACCACAATGCACAAGAACGCATGTGTGTTGTGTGCTGATTAGGTGTGTTGGGGTGTCATAATAAACATTAATAAATCAAATGTTCCAGACAGGCAGAATGATATTCCAGTTAGAAACTCTAAAGAGATCAATTCATGTTGATAATGCAGTTTGTGGCCATTTGAAAGACCACAAGGTATTTTTCCCCAGTAGGCCAAATGTTTGTGTACTACATAGATCATATGCAACATCAGTAACGCAATCCATCTATTTCTGCAATGCCCCATCCAGGAACAATGCAGGAGGCAAATGTACCCCTCTACATTTCTTCCATCTCTGCACTAAGGCCAGCCAAAGACATAAAAAGGCAGTTGCATAAGAATGCATGATCCCACTGCCACCTGGCATAGAGGCAGAGCCAGCTGTACCCGCCCCCTCCCCCGTCCGATCCGCCAGCCAGCGCTGGCGGATCGGAGGGGGGGGGGGGGGGAATCCAGCCCCTCCCCTGTCCCGGCAGAGAGCTGTGACAGGATCGAGAGGTGAGCTCACTTCTCGATCAACTGAGCTAGAACTATGAGGTGAGTGAAAAGCACTCACCTCTTAGTTCTCCTTTAAGTAACATGTACCTATTATTATGGGGCTGGATAAAGTAATGTGGCTCTGGCAATAGCAGCAAGGCTATGGTGGCATGCTACTTTTATATAATTGGGGGGGAGGGGGGTTTGTTGTGAAGGTTCCATCCTGTGTTGGTTTAACCCAGTAGGTAAAACATGTAATATTCCTCGTAACAATATCAATTATTATGAGAATTATTAATATGGTGAAAGCTTTCTGAAAGTTATTGATCCATTTTTTTGAGCTTGTGTGAATATGATTTTCTGTTGATTCACACATCTGTATACAGCCATGCCTAGAAAATACTATAATACTTTTTAGTTTACTTGTCATCAGTAAGTGTCTGCTATAGCTCTGATATAAGATATAATGCAGCATAGTTCTGTTATGAGTGATTCATTTAGGTGCTAGTTGCTTTGATTTTCATCCAGCTGTTTGCGGTGAAATGTAAGCAAGTGCCAGCTACATGATCGTTTTTTTTGGTCTGCCACTTCCTTAGAAAAATATCCTTCTGTGACTCATTTCTTTTCCTTTACTACCTGCCAAGCTATCGCACTAAATTAATAGCTGGCTTTAAGAGGGGAAGAATAGCCAGCAGATGCATGTTATTCGGAAGGAGAAGCAGACGACACAGAAGAGAAGTTAAAGTGACAGGGTAACAAGAATTGAGGAGCATACAGCAACCAATGTAGCAAGTACCTTGCAAGGGCACTGCGCAAACAACAAACCCGGACATATGTCCCCTCTGTTACATCTCCCGCGGGCACCAAATTCTCACTCCCGGCGGAAATCGCGGAAGCTTTTGCCGACTATTACAGAGACCTGTACAATTTAACGGATCCCACAATGTTGTAGAGAATCCAGACCCCCCCAGGCCCGCATTGTGCATTACATTCATACATACTGATGGAAACCCCGATCACAGCAGCGGAGGTGGAGTCCGCACTCAAACTCACCAACACAGGCAAAGCCCCTGGCCCAGACAGCTACTCTTTGTCATACTATAAGCGCTACCTACCAGTTCTCGCCACACCGTTCCTGACCGCACTTAACTCTATCCTTGACGCCCACACCCCTTCACCCGAATCTCTTAGGGCCCACGTCACGGTGATACCCAAAGAGGGTAAGGACCCAGCCCTCTGCCCTAGTTATCGACCTATATCCCTCCTCAATGTTGATAGTAAACTTTTTGCCAAAATCCTATACCACAGACTAATACCACATCTGGTGCAACTCATCCATCCTGACCAAACTGGATTCACCCCCTCCTGAGAAGCGCGGGATAACACCACTCGAGCGCTGGGGGTGCTTCACTCCGCCCGATCGAACGCCACCCCATGTGTACTGCTGTCCACGGATGCGGGGAAGGCGTTTGATCGGGTGGACTGGGGGTTCCTCCGGTGCACTCTGGAGGCGATTGGGGTGGGCCCGGGAATGCGTTCCTTGATTAATGCGCTTTACTCCTCCCCCTCCGCCCAGGTGCGGGTGAATGGTGTCCTATCCCCTATCTTCCTGATCACCAATGGCACCCACCAAGGTTGCCCGCTCTCGCCTCTTCTATTTGTACTCACTCTTGAACCTTTACTTCGCACGATACAAGCAAATCCAGACATCCGAGGAATCTCAGCCGGATATACGACCCACAAGGTCGCTGCCTTTGCGGATGACCTCCTTTTTTTCCTCACTTCCTCAGATGTCTCTATCCCTGTCCTCCTACGGGAATTGAAAACATATGGTACCCTCACGAATTTCCGTATTAACTCCCACAGATCAGAGGCCCTTCATATCTCAATCACGGGACCTGCCCTTGGCAGAGTTCTCCATAACTTCCCATTTAAATGGGCCCCTAACGCCATCAAATATCTCGGCATACTACTGCCAAAGGACCCGTCCCTTGCGTTCTCGTTGAACTTTCCACGGCTATTGTCCCGCATTAAGTCAGACTTAGAGACCTGGACGAAAAGTACTTTCTCATGGATGGGGCGGTGCAATATCCTGAAATAGTCCATTCTTCCTCGCCTACTATACCCCATCCAAGCACTCCCGATCCACATACCCACATCCTTTTTCTGCAACATCCAAGCGATTTTTTTAGGGAATTCGTCTGGGCCCACAAACCACCTAGACTGAGTTATGACATGTTGCGGAGACCCAAGAGCATGGGAGGGATGTCCCTACCTGATGTACACCAATACTACATAGCCGCGCACTTGACGCTGGCCAACCTCTCCTGGAGTTCGTCTCCCTCTACTCCACCCCTGCGGGTACATCCCACCATAGGCCCTACACTGCAGCTGACACGCTCAACCTTCGCCAAGGGTCTCCTATCCACCACTCCCCCCTCCTTCCTATACTGGATAACCCTTCCTTTCCCCCCTGATGTCGGCCCACGAACCTACCTTCCTCTGCGGAACCTGGGCATCTCAAAAGCGTCACACTTTCTGACTTCTCCGGAGTGGCCCTCAGTAGACACCCTTCGCACCCAACCGGCCTACGGCCCGTTGGACTTCTGGTCCTCTATGCGCTTATCCCACTTCCTACACACCATCACACCGACCCTGCATCACAACACCATTCCTATGCGAGCATATTCACGCTCACTCATTAGGCACATAGTCAACGCGGCTGGAAGAAACCCGAGCCCCCACGGATCAGACAGGTCTTAGACCGCATGCACGATATTTACCTCATGGAGGACCTAATGAGCTCCCTCAAACACACCAATGCTCAGTTCTCGGGTACCTGGCTTCCTTGGATGGAGTTCATGAGCTCCCCTGAATACCTCACGCTCTGATGACCACGGGACACCGAGTTACCCAAACCCAGCTATTCAGCTCCTATGACTCGGAAAGGGTGGGACCCCCGCGCTCGCCGCTCACACTGCCGTTGCCACGACAGAGGGCGCCCCAGGGTACCAGCACCCCCCGCTTGCGTGAGGGCTCTAGCCCCCTCTGACCATGTTTTTAATGCAAATTGTCACACCATATTTGTTCAAATCACTTTATGTGTTGAAGTATGTTGTAACGTTTTATTGTCATAATTACTGCATCACTGTACGTGAATCAACCTCACGTCCATGTGTTATGTATAACTTGGATAAAAATGAAAAATCACTTAAATAAATAATTTATTAAAAAAAAAAAAAAGAATTGAGGAGCATTATATATCCTAGTCAGAACCAATAAAGATTAAATACACAAATAAACATTTTATAACATGATTCATAGTGCAAGGGATACTTTTAGACTGGAAAGTATGTTAGCATGTGGATAATTAGAACAAAACATCACAGATTGCCATTTTATGCAAGCATTTTAAGTAATAATGCTGTTTCATTGTTTTCCAGACAT